TATTATATTCTTTGCAAGCTCTTGCAGGGCCACATAAAATGAAGTCGCGGGCCGGATTTGGCCCCCGGGCCTTGAGTTTGAGACCCCTGATGTAGACCATAGATTGAAAGAAGAATAATTAAATAATCTAAATTACCAGGTAAGCAATCATTTAATTCTCCTTGTCACATGGAATAAAGATGAATTTGATAGCAAATATTACACAATGAATGATTGAATAACTCATCTCCCGAGACAAATTAATCTTGAGGATTGATGGCGTGGATGTAACCTGTGATCAGAGTAACATATTTCACGAGTCATTGGTGGCGCGCTACACATTCACAAGGGGCATTACCGAGTGATGACTTGATTTTGACTGACTGTCCCTACTTGAAATCAGGTTATATAAACAAACAGGGGGTGACGGTTCTGCAGTCGACCAAATTATGATTGCAGAGTCACTCAGCTTTTTAATTAAGTCTGTTAACGGATTATGACAGTGCCTGAACATAACGCTTCACATGTAATGAGTCATGAACCATCCCCTCCTGATTCCTCCAGACACCTAAAATGATTAAGTGCAGTGTCCTTTATGAGTTGACAGTGAGTGTCCCTTGATGTTTGGGATCTGGACTCAGTGAAGCTATGCAGCTGTACGACTTGATTTTCTGCAGTCGGCCATGCCCCCTCAGAAAACTGTAACAGGATATTATGGACAAAGTAGAGCAGTTCAGTTTCTTCAAACATCTTAGCGCTTCAGGCCCTCTCTGCTTTGAATGACAAAATAGGTCCTTGACTCCATCCTCTCAGTGGCTTTACAGTATTCCTGCTTTCACTTTTCAAGTACTGCCGTTGGAGTGACTGTTACTAAACTAGTACCGTGTGAAAGTCCTTAAGGAAGCAAGTGCATCATGGGTACTTCTCTGTGTGCTAGGCTCCTCTCCTCGCCACACTGTTGGCTTTCTTTAGGCGAGGCGTTATGCTTGCTTTCGTTCTCTTGATCCCACAAGTACCCTTGAGATTGACCAGGCGTATTTAGCGGCTGCCTCCTGGCATATGGCTTTTATTATACTGCCTTAGATCCGGAGAAGAAAACAATTGCACTTTTCTCCCGCTGTATTGTGGGCTATAGTGCATGGTCCCACCACATTTCAATGGTTGGCGGTGATGAATAGGCTACCAACATCACAACAACATTCACCAACCTCCCACAGCACCACCCATATCTACTCGAGGTGACTTTGTAAACAACAGTTTGTTATGTTAAACACAATTTAGGTTGAAATGTCATGGTGTTTGGATTGTGGTATTTAGGCATAGAAAGTGCGACAATGATACGTCTTTACGAGAGGGTCCCAGGCTTTGTTTGCATCCTGTGAATGAGGCAACAAATGAACAAAATGGCGGCAACATGAGTCACATAGTGCTATTGTTTTTATGCAATGCACAGATCGACAATTGGTGGTGACGCACCAATACAATACAAATAGAAATGTGCCAAAAACATGCACTGAAGAAAAAGACAAGATAGAAAACAGAGATAACAAATGTCATCTTTGCATCTGGATGTATAAGGAAAGCAATACAATTGAAGCGTTTACATTTGTCACTAAATCAATTGGCTGTTGAGTATTAATGTGTATATATTAGGGCCGGGACTTTAATGCGTTAATTAAGATTAATTAATTACACAAAAATTAACACGTTAAAAAAATTAACGCATTTTAATCGCACTTATTTTTGCACCGCGGAACGTTTCTCACTGGATGAGTTTCAGGGGTACCGATTATACTGGAGCACCAACTAATGTTCATGACTTCAGACAACAACAAACCACAGTGAACAATAGTCAAACATGAACGAAGAAGCTGATGAGACCGCTTTGGTTGGCCCCGTGGATNGAAGAGATGAGAGATCAACCTGCATCAGCAATGAAGGTGCTAAC